GTGTGTGTGTGTGTGTGTGTGTGTGTGTGTGTGTGTGTGTGTGTGTGTGTGTGTGTGTGTGTGTGTGTGTGTGTGTGTGTGTGTGTGTGTGTGTGTGTGTGTGTGTGTGTGTGTGTGTGTGTGTGTGTGTGTGTGTGTGTGTGTGTGTGTGTGTGTGTGTGTGTGTGTGTGTGTGTGTGTGTGTGTGTGTGTGTGTGTGTGTGTGTGTGTGTGTGTGTGTGTGTGTGTGTGTGTGTGTGTGTGTGTGTGTGTGTGTGTGTGTGTGTGTGTGTGTGTGTGTGTGTGTGTGTGTGTGTGTGTGTGTGTGTGTGTGTGTGTGTGTGTGTGTGTGTGTGTGTGTGTGTGTGTGTGTGTGTGTGTGTGTGTGTGTGTGTGTGTGTGTGTGTGTGTGTGTGTGTGTGTGTGTGTGTGTGTGTGTGTGTGTGTGTGTGTGTGTGTGTGTGTGTGTGTGTGTGTGTGTGTGTGTGTGTGTGTGTGTGTGTGTGTGTGTGTGTGTGTGTGTGTGTGTGTGTGTGTGTGTGTGTGTGTGTGTGTGTGTGTGTCTGTGTGTGTGTGTCTGTGTGTGTGTCTGTGTGTGTGTGTGTTTTTATGTGCATTATGTATTATGATATCGTTTCTCACCCTTCTGCTGTTTTATAATGCTCTATGAGGCATTGGAGATTAGATTGTTGGAGTCTTTGTGAAGTGAGTCTTCATTTCTTTTGGTCAGATGGCTCTGATATGTAACACTGGGTAGTTAGGAATTGTTTTGATTCTTTTGTGATACACCTGCGTATGTATTTGCTGATGAATATTTTGTAAACTCAACTGATGAATTGAATTACTCTGAACGGTGTATATGATGCTTATGTTAATGAAGTGATTTCAATGTTTAGATGTTTCCGCTTTATTCTAAATGTTGATGTGTAGGTTTTAAACGATATGCTTTGTTTTTAGTTGAGATTTACCCCTTTTGTTACATATCTTCATGAGCTGGTATTATTCATGTTTCGTTTCGATGATAATGTGATGCGCCTCTTTTGTACCATGTTATAATTATACTCTGATGGAATTTTCATTAAGTGCCTAAATGATTTAATTGTTTATTTGGGGGTATAGAAAAGGGGTGTTACACTTTCAGTGTTGACCTAAGGATGTGGTGATGTGATTGGGGGAAATTTCAAGCATTTCACTTACCTTGATCCCACGTCATCATAATATGTTCTAGTATACACCATGACCACTCCATTCACATTCCAGATGTCTTCAAAATTCTTAACGTATTCAAGGTCTACAAGGAAAGCTTCCTGGGACTATCCCACGAGGAGAACTAGACATGATATGAAGGTTTTACTCTTTGCCACGATAAATCTATAAGAAGGAAGAAGAAGGGACGTCCAACCAATACCCGGATTAGAACCAAAATGGACAACGTTGAAAAAGAAAAGAGAATGTGTGAGATTTATCGAGAAATAGGTCATATGTGTAGAAAATGCCCAAATATAGACGGCTCGTCTAACCGACCTGTCTAGATGATTTTGTTTGTTTTTTAGTTAATCATTTAGTCAAGGTTTTAGCTTTTATTTCATGTCTTTGTAATTCAACATTCAGTTAATATTCAAAACAACTTTCAGCAACAACAACAACAACAAAATAACAAAACCACACATAAAACAACAAGACGATAAACAATAAAACGATTAAAATGTCAACATTTCTAGGAGATTATAACCATCAAGACAATATATGCTGGTCCATACATCATCAAAACAACATCATAGTTTTTTTTAACAGCTTTCCAAGATCGAGTTTCTCCATTTTTAACAAGCATGCCAATTCTTCTAATCTTTTCACCTTCAGCAATTTATCCATCTAACCAACTCACCAGGCTTCTCTGAAGATGCTCGAATGTCACTGTGTTTCATAGTCAGATCATCAACGGAGGCTTTATTGCCGAAAAAATAGTTGAGCATCTCTTTTGATAAGAGGATCATTTGAATTGGTAAAATACTTCATTCTTTAAGAAATATTTCAGAGTTAAATGATGAAATTAGTGTAAATGATGTGAGACTTATAGGTTGCCACACAAAACTATTTATAGGAAATAGATAAAGAGTCTGTTTGGTAAGACCAAAAAAAGAGCTTTTAGCTTTTCAGCTCATTTTGATTAAAAAGCTTTGTTTGGTAACTGCCTTTTAGCTTTTAGCTTATAGTTTTTTAACTAGCTTTTAGCTTCTTTTTTTCAAAAGCTATTTGAAATAGCTTTTGAGCCTATAGCATTTAGCTTATGACTTTTTATTCCAATTATACCCTTATTATTATTATTATTATTATTATTATTATTATTATATATGTGTGTGTGTGCGCGCGCGCACGCTCGCGTGTGTGCCTATGCGTATTATAATATTTACTATTAAAAATTTGATTTTAAAAGATTGAATTTAGGGAGATTTTGAAGGATGTTATAGAAGATTTTTATTATTTTTCTCTACTTTATTAGACGTTATTTTTATTTATTAAATATAAATTATATAATTAATTTAGAAATAGTGGTTATAATTCTCAAGTTAGGAGAATCAATGAAATCAACAAAGGTGAAGAAAATTCAGAATATTATTACAGTTTTATTGTAAAATATTAGATAATAAATTTATTTTATTATTTTAGATTAATATAACTAAATTCAAAATTACAATGTTATTATTTCACATATTTTATTAAATTTCATTATAAAATGAGGAAAAAAAACTATGTTCTACGAAAGAATGAGTTAATCAGACCAAAAATTACAGTTATTAGAATTACTTTTACTTTTGTATACTCATAAATGGCTATATAAAAATACCCCTGCTTCATGTATGATTTACTGATTATTTTATTCATTGAATTTCGTTTTCAATATATTCATACTAAATAGCAAACCTCATAAAACTTATATACAAATTTATATATTTTGATGATATCTTCAATTTTTCATATATATTAAAATTGTTTTGATACATTTACTTTTATCGAATAAAATTTAATTTAATTTAATAATATAATAAGATAATGAAATCACAAATTTTTCAATTAAAAATGTCTTTTAGGTCATTTTGTAATTATCAGTTAGTGTAACAACTAATTTATCAAACACTCAAATTAACTTATCAGCTACCAGTCATCAGTTATCAGCTACCAACTACCATCTAATAGCTACCAGCTATCAGCTATAAGCTAGTTTTACCAAACAGAGTCAAATAATAAAATATTCCACTTCTCGGCCAATGGATACCCGAGCTTGGCCAATGGATGGTCGAGCATCTTCATGCAATAGTTGAAGTCTAATAAATAAAACTAAAATTTTAAAAAATTATTAACAAACCAATCAACACCAACAATCAACACAAGTGGATATTCGACTCCTCTGTTAACTTCGCCACTATGTGCTGAAAACATACACTGGACATCTTCATCATTTTCTATACGATCTAAGTAATACATGTACGTACTATCAGGGGTTGCATCAGTCAACGTTATGTATGGACAATGATACTCTAATTTTCTCACCTTCATACGACAACCACCCAATTGTCGAAAACTCGTGTTGATAGTTGCAATTAGTTTTCTGAAATTCCATTGCAGATCTAGGCAAACACTTGTTTTTTTGTCAAAAATGTAATTTACTATGTGAGATTAATTATGTTTCTACGCATCAAGTTACTTATAGAAAAATATTACATGTAAACTCGGTTATTCATTAGCTGAGAGTCTCTTAACGGTGACTTCACTCGACCATTACATGTCATAAGAGATTAAAATAATTAATACAATCTATTTAATAAATTATTTTTTTTTAAAGTCCTAGTTAAAAAATTATAAATATATTTTTAAAAATTTTATTTAATTAATAAAATGTTATGTTTATAATTATATTTTTTATTAAAATTATTTAAAATATTAAATAAACTAATAAATATTAAAATGTTAAGACATTCGGCCATTTATTAGCTAAACACACATCAAAAATTTCGTGGACTTACATGTTGAAGTCCTGATGTTAGGGAGGATATTTAAGGTTGGATGTGCGGAAGTTGAGGGATAAGGTGAAGCTGGCTGAGATATGGCGGTGTGCGCGTGTTAGTAATGTGTCAGGTGCGTGTTAGTAATGTGTCAGGCTGCCTGAGATATGGTGGTGTGCGCGTGGATGAGTCTAGCTTCTATGATATTGCCACAAGTGTACCTTGCTGAAGGAGACGATGTAAGGCTAAGCAATAGTGGATCCTCTGTAGCATTCACCGAAACTCTGTTTAAAGAGGCCATAGGTTCTGTTCGAATTTATGATACTATATTTGAATTTCTAAAGATGTAATTTTAAGTAATTCATAAATACTGAAAGGTAAGGAAACTATGAACTGGATGTCAAATCTCAGTTTCTACTTTTGATTAAATGAATCCAAAATGACAATTGTTATTGTTTTAGCAAGTAAAATTTGTTTCAAAAATAAAATTGCGAACTATGGTGACACCAATATGAAAATTTCTGTTTGTAGTGAAGGATTTCATTATATTTATAGTGATGGTGACACCAATATGAAAATTTCTGTTTGTAGTGAAGGATTTCATTATATTTATAGTGAAGGGTGCATTACAGTTTAACCAACCCACACACTCCCCTACCAAGAATCCGTCACATATATTCTCTTGCATTTAACACATATCTACCCTCTTTCTTTGGTAACACAATAAAAGCACATGTTTATCAATAAAATTGAGGTTAAATATTACAGAAAAACATCAGAACACCCTACAACTTAATCTGACACTGAAAGGAAATAGAGCAGTTGTAACAAGTTCTTGTTCTGCCATTAAAGAGAATACAATTTTTAGTGTAATGCAGAACTACACATAACATTCAAATAACATCTTGTGGCTTCAATTCCATCCTCCTATAATATTTTCATGATTTCTGCATTATGAACAATACAAGGTGAAACTTGGCATGCAATTGAGATGAAAAGATAAACCAAAAGACTAGATGTTTATATACAGACATCTCTTACCTGCATTGGAAGGTACAATTTGAACTCTGGTGGGAGTTCCTCTTCTGAGTAGAGACGATCAGAGAAGTATATCCTTCTCAAGCGACAGTTTGCATGGACCTGAACTCGCAGTGTCTCCACATAATTAGTACCATATGCTCTCTTGGTAAAATCAGCTAGGTTAAACTGGATTTGATTCCAGCCCTCATCCATTCTCAGTGGCATAGTGCAAATGTAGGGCTTTACTCGAGTGACACCCTATGAAATGAAAATAATAAAATAAATCACTTGCAATGCACATTGATAGCAATTTGGGTAGAAATGACATAACTGTATTTGTGATTCAATTATTCAGAGTTTATTTCAGCAAAAGAAATCATGCAAATGTGTTACTATGTTGGCAATCCTACAAGACACACAATCATGGGCGGACTTACACACTTGGAAATTAGAAGCTCGAAATCGTCGTCTGACATTCTTATCATCCAAAACTTGAATCTCAAATGTGAAGTACTTCTTTAGATTCTTGACAATCATAACCAAGAATGGAAGTTTTATACCAAGTGTGGCAGCGGGATCTGCCGGGCACGTAATGAATGTGGACTGAATATTAGATCCAATTATTTCGAGCACATTGGATTGTATGTCTTCATCTTGTGGTCGTTTAATATGGCCATTCACAACTACAAAATCATAAGTATAAAAAAATTGTTACTATCATCAAGCAAACTACAGATATGTTAAGATAAACAGTCAACTAATAGAGACAATTTTATTGCCAAAGTACTAAATAATAAATATCACACAAACAATGGTGAATATGAAATAGAATAAATATCATAGTGTTAGGAACGGAGTCAGAGAGAATGATCCAAGAGAACAATTAGTCCATATTGAGCCAGTTTCGGCCGTCTTCTCCTATATCTCTTCTATTCCATCTTTCTCCCGAATGAATTCATTCCTAATATAAGTTTTTCTTTTCCACTCGTCTACATAAATTTCCATTCAGCAGAACTACAACAAGAGCATGATCATGAAGAGTAATCCAAAAGATATTGTTAATTAATTACACATTGAAGCAATATACATGTTTTACAAAAGACAACATTTCTCAACTGAATGAAAGAGTCACTTAATCCAATAGATAAAGGGCCACTTAATATATTGATCTAAATACAGAATGCACCAATTCCCTTTCACAAAACAATGAGGGTCAAAATACCAAATTCCATCTCTCATAAGCACTATTCATCATGTTTTACATACCCACATTTCACAACATAGTCAAAGGGACAGTGTAACTCTAACGCATCATGCAGCAACCTTACCGTTTAACAAGTACAACAAAACAAAACTTCAACAATGAGAATAAATAATCAATTAGAGTTAAGGATTTTTTATCAACTCAATTCAGCATATCAAATTTCTAACAAGCTAAAAATTACACCTAATGCCACTGCAAACAAAAAAACATTTACCTTCTTTGTCCCATATCTGCAAAGGTTTGCTCCTACAAAAAAAAATTAAAATTGAAGCACCGTGTGAAAATTCAGAACCTTAATCACAACAAACATGTGAAACTGAAATATGAAACAAACAAGCCAAAACACAGCATACCCGAGGCTGTATAGTATGGAAAGAAATCCAGACTGGAATGTGTTCTTGAACATTTTCTGCAATGACAAAAAGCACATCAAAATCAAGTTTTCAATCCAAAATCACTAAAAATGAATTTAGGGTTTAGTAACATTGAATTTATAGTCATAGTGATTTATATAATAGAGATGAAATTGGGGATCATTCTCCGTCAATTCAAAAGCAATAATCACAATTTAGGGATTTGAGAGAAAGATGAATTTAGGGTTTAGTGACAATCAGAGAGAGGAAAAAGAATACATAACAGAGAGAGGGTTAAAGAGACTTACGACGATGAGCGGTGGGGGTTGGTAAGAGAAACAGCAACGGACGCGAGGGAGACGATAAAGGAATCGAAGAGAGTCACAATCGGGACGGTCCCATGAGTATCAAATTTTAATCAATCAAACGAGAATAAATACAAATAATGTAGCAATTAGTGCGTTTCCACGGGTAATATAATATGGGTAATCTAACTTGAGCCCAAAAGAGTAAAAGTTAACAACTAAATTAAAAAATATTATCTTAAAAATTATGTATAAATTTTAATTAAAATATAAAATTATTTTTTAAATTATTTTTTTCAATATAAATTTATTATAAGTGAATCTCTTAATTTGTACTCTTCTGACACAAGTTAATATTACCTATATAATATCATTTTTTAGTAAATTTACTTTTTTATTTTTAAAAAGATATATTTTAATTTATATAAGGATTATAAATATAATCTTTTTATGTATAAAAATATTTGAAGAATGATATTTTTTTAATATAAAATACTATTTTTGTTTTGACATTGTTTATAAAAATATTTAGATAAAAAATATTTATTTCTCGTTTAAAAAAATATTAAGATTTACGTCTTAATTTAAAAAATAAAATTTGTCATTAATAAAATATATTAGTAAAATAATTAGATCAATAATATATAATATATTTTTTCATACATTATTTTAAAAAATATTGTATTTTAAATTTTAAAAAATTAAAATTAAAATATTAGTAAGATAAATAATTTAAAAACCACACATTTTTTTAGTGTTTGAATTCATACATTATTTTAAATATTTTTATTTTTTTTAATTTTATAAAAAAATATAATAACTTATAGTTCATATGAATACCGATGTGAATACTCATGCGTCCGTACAAAGATTGGTGTGGATACTCGTGCATTCGCACCCTGACTGATATGTTACGTGTATTTATTTTTAAAATATAATAAGAATATAATAAATAGAAAAAAAATATTATTTAACTAAGAAAATTTATTATTTATATATATATATTTGGATCAATTCTATATTTTCAGCGTATATAAATATTAATTTTGTTTTTACATTATTTATAAAAATATTTATACACTCATTTAGTTTTATAAATATCAACTAATAATATAGTATTTATAAATATTCTTTTAATTGGAAAAATAATTATTAATAATATAAGTAAACATATTTGTCTGTGTTTAGATTCATATATTATTTAAAATGTATTTATTTATAATTTTTTTAATTATACAAAAATTATAATGATCCGTGCGTTCGCACATATTTTAATTTGGGTACATGTGTCTTTCCAAAGATATTGGTGTGCGTTCGCACATATTTTAATTTGGATACCTATGTTTTCGAAAGATATTGGTGTTATCACATATTTTAATTTGGATACCTATGTCTTTCGAAAGATATTGGTGTTATCATAATAATGTCTAATTTAACGTATTTAGTCTAGATACTGGTATATGTCCATTGGTAAACAAATTTAACTAAAAATTTTATTTTGCCATTTTTAAAAATATTTTGATTATTTTTATTTTGGCACCGTTTATAAAAACATTGGATCAATGATAAACATTTTTTAGTATATAAAAATAAGTGTTTATAACAAAATTTGGATCAATGATTCTAAATTTTTTATGTCTGCATCGATTACACGCAAATTATAGTTATTATTGTAATTTTAATTGTATAATATAAATGATTAAAATAATATTAACATCTTATCATAATTTTAAAAATCAACTATATTAATTATATTTTAATATGTAATAGTATTTTTAAATGTAGTTAATACATTTTTTTAAAGATTTTTGAGATATTGATTTTAAACCTAAAAATAGAATAATTGTGAAAATATGATATAAGTGTAATTTATTTTAACATTTAAAATAAAAACTATTAATATAGTTTTTATTATATTGGGACAAATGAAGTATATTTTTAAATGGAGTATCTCATTAGTGATTTTTATTATTAATTATGTAGATTTTATTAATTACAAATTAAGAATTAAATTAAATATTTTTTTATAAGTAATTAATTAATATATTTAATAATTTTAAAGATCAAGATGAATATTTGATTTCTGTTAAATTATGAAAAAGAACATCAAATAAATAAGTATTAAAGAATATAGATTTAAAGAATAGAGTAACACTCAAGGGTGGCAAAACGGGGCGTGGTCCGTCGGGCCGGCCCGCGCACCCGTCAAAAAATGGCGGGTTGGGTTGGAATTTTTGGTCTGCCGCCCATCAAAATCCGTCCCACTAAAGACCACCACCCAGCAAAGCCCGTTCCGCCAAAACCCGCCGCCCGCCGCACCTATTCGTTCAACTTGTATCACCTTAAACCCGCCCTTTTTTTTTGTTAGTTCTAGTAATTTCAATTCTTTATGGTTTTATTTTATACATTTATTTGAGAATATATGCATAGCAGAGGTGACTACTTGGTGATTTTAACAATGGGGAAAAGCCTAAGATAGGGTTAGGGGAAAAATGGTTACTGAAGCTGAGTATGTAAATTTTAATGATATGTTGGAGAAAACAGACATATGTGAAATGGATAGCAGAGGTTGAAGGTGAGATAATACTTAGAAGGGGGGTTGAATAAGTATGGAAGATTAAGACTTAAAAATAATCACACAATTATTTTTATCCTGGTTCGTTTAAACAACTACTCTAGTCCATCCTTCCTAGAGTGATTTGCCTTTCTCAACAAGGACTTAATCCACTATTGAATCAAACTGATTACAATAGTAACACCTAAGAACAACTGTTCTTAGTCTTCTCAAGAGCTACTGATTCCAACTAAATCCTCTTAAGGAAAAACCTTTACAATCAATGTAAATTAAATACAAGAGTATTAATGCTTCTATAAAGCTTTTATCACAACAGTGATTTTCTCTTAAGTTTAAGTACAAAAGATTCTAAGAAGAATATGAAATAGTGAGAGCTTAGAATATTATAATTTCTTTTCAGCAAATTGTGTGACTGAAGAATGTGGTGGAGTTTTCCTTTTATAGGTAGCTGATCCAAGGATGCTGAGCGTTGAAAAGAGAGTCCCAAAAAGGTCTGAGCTTTTTTGTCTTCACATCAAGTGACCTTTCCTAGAAGTAGATAGCACAGAAAAATCCTTTTTGTCTGTGTAAGTGTGTCTAGCACAAATGAGGAAAGAGACGTTGATTAACTCCAACAGATATATTCTTGAATAATTCTTCTTCAGTTTTCAGCAAGTTCTTCAGAGTCTGAATGGATCAGAGTCTTCTAATGATATTCAGAACTTTGTTGTATCAGAGTCTTCTGCAGCGTGTGTGCTTTCAGCGTATTGATCATCAGAGCATATGTGTCACAGAGCTTCAGTACTTGGCAGCGTTGGTACTTTCAGAACCTTCTATAGAATTATGCTTTGAGAAACTCTTCAAACAATATTCTTCTTTGCTTCAGATGCTTCAGCTTCAGATGCTTCTGATTATCTTCAGATGCTTCTGACTCAGAATGTTCTGGAGCTTCTTGCTTCAGATCCTTCTGGAGACTACGCTCAGGATCTTTTGTAAAGAGCAATCAGATTCTTCTGTAAGATGCATCTGGCGCTTCAGAGTCAGGATAACTTCTTGTATACAACAGATTTGCTTCTAGAGAGTTAATTTCATTTCAATCTGCAGTAAAACTCTCAAACAAATTTTAGAGTATATAATTCTTAAATATAAAATTTCCTAACAATTATCATCAAAACAAAGAGTTATTATTAAGAACCAATCTGTGTTCTAACAATCTCCCCCTTTTTGATGATGACAAAAAGTATCAGAAATTTTATTTAACTGAACATAAAGAATTATAACTCCCCCTGAGTTGATGAATCTCCCCCTGAGTTTAATATGAAAAAGGAATAAAAACTTCCCTTTTATCTTGAGTAATCTTCAGAGTTAGATCTTGTTTGTTCTTATAACATTTTAGGGTCAGAATGTCTTGCAGATATAAGATTCAGAGTTTGATAATAGACAAATGATCTGAGAGACTCAGAGTTTCTTTTATAGAGTGTACTTATCAAATGTTCTGAAATAGTCAGATAAATGTTAGATAGAATAGATATGTCTAAAGATTCATTCTGGTGAAGTTATATTAAACAGTTCAGATCTATATTTTCTCCCTCTTTTTTGTCATAAGCAAAAAGTAAAAACTTTTAAAAGGACAAATAAAAGGAACAATAAATAAGATAATTCAATGGAGAAAACTGATTCATTCAAAATATCAGAGCAAGAGTACATAGATAAACATCAGAAGATATAACAATAAACTTCAGATGCAAACAACAGATGCAAGAAAAAAATGAAATGAAGAAAAATCTAAGAGTGTTTGGACAAAAGCATCTTCAATAGATCTGTAATCTCAGAGGAGGATTGCTCTTGCTTGGACATCCACTTAGTCATAGTTTCATTTTTCTCATCTTGCTTTGACATCCATTCTGTCACATCCTCAGACTTCTTATCCTGCTTATCCATCCAGGATTTTATCTCAGACTGTCCAGGCTCCAGAGCAGCAATCTTGTCTCCAAAGTCTGGATGTTCTGTCTTTATCTCAGATGAAGAAGTTGGAGGTTCTGTAGCCTGAATAGAGTCAATTGCCATTGGTTCTGTAGATCCTGAAGATGGTTCTACCAGAGTCATAGTCAATGCATTAGCAGTAGATTCTGTTGGAGGTAGAGGAGCATCTAAACGAAGCAGAGGTTCAGTTTTGTTGACAGTCCATAATAGA